TGGCAGAGCTACTAACGTAGCATGGGACAACCCTGAAGAACAGCAAAATGTTTTTTCTTGTCTTTCTTTTTGATATAACATAAATAACATCACTATTTTTCCAAAGTTCAGGCTGACTTAATAACCATGCATGATCATTAACAGTTTCTCACCTCTTCACTCCTCTTTTCCTTCATGATACTGAATTCTTGATCCCATTGTGTTTTAAAAAGTTATTTCATGATAACTCGCAACTACTTTTTGCACACATATTTATTTGTTGACATTTATAATCTGCTGCAATCTCATGATTCTCAGCAGCATACAAGATATGAGAAGAAAAAATTAAATTATCCATGGTAAGATTCAAACCCAAACCACAGAGAGAATAAAACTCAAAAATAAAGTAACTGTAATACTATAATAGTAAAAATAAAAAGTAAAAGAAGGTGCAGTAGGTAAAAGTCACTGTAATGTTCTCCAGGACAGCTGTTTTTAATATCCTTCTAAAAACCATCGAGGAAGGGACTAGCCTGATCAAAGCAGGGACACTGTTCTACAATACTACTGCTACCACTGAGAAGCAACACCTGCCAGCCTTATTCCTAACCTCGCAGAAGTGTGAGACCACTAGAAGTTTCTCCTTGCTCTAGTAGCCCAGGCCAGTACTAGCCAAAAGGGGCATGGATCCAGACTATGGCTGGCAGAGCTCACAGTAGCAAGAACTCCTGTCCACTTCTTCAGGTTTGACTAGCTCGAACTCCTCCCAGATAATCAAGCCAGGATGTGCCTCAGTCACTTCCACTGTATCCACCCAGTACTCTCATGAGTGGCTGCAAAAGCAGGACTACTATGAGCCCTCCTCCAAAGTTCCCCTAAAGACCTCAGATCTGCTCTCTTTAAAGATCCAAGCACATCGCCTGCAGATGTGAGCTCAGCCTTACAGAATACAGGTAGTCCACTCGCTCAGTGACCATTCAAAGTTACAACAGCACTGAATGAGGGGTATTTATGACAGGTCCTTGTAGTTGTGGCTGTTGTAGTGTCCCAGCAATCCCATGATCATGATGGGGTGCTCAGCAACTAGCTCGCAATTACGATGTTGCAGCGTCCAGCTGTCATGTGATTGCTATTTATGACCTTCACTGGTAGTTTCTGACAAGCAAAGTCAATGGGTAAGCTGACAAGAGGTCTCAAATGGCAGTCATTGGACCGCTGGATGCTGCAACTGTGTGGGATTTGCCTAACGACAGCAACTGGGACTGTGGAACTGCCATTGTAAGTTGGTGCAGTCACATGACATCACACCTTACAACCATGTTGCTTAGTGATTGAGTTCCCCATCCCAACTACCATTGGTAAGTGAGGACTACCTGTACAGAAACTGTGGGAAAGTGCCTGCAGGCCTCCATCCTGGGTTTATCAAGGGGCACTCTACTATCTGATGTAGACTGCCCTGATGTAACTGATGAAAGTGAAGGAGTTATGGGCTGTAATAGACCCAGAGTTTCCTTGGAAAGGTCTACAGCAGCACTTCTGCTTGCTCAAACTGAACAACTTAACCAATGATCATCCCCTGGCTTTTATATCCTGGAATATTGGAGGGTGGAAAGTCAGATCTATTATTTCTGGCATACATCTCTAGGATATAGTTTTTCTCCGCACAGCTGTTTTGGAAGGGAAATATAAAATAATTCCTTTTGAAGCATGATAGTGTCTCTGCAGCATGGGTGTGATAGAAACCATGGCCCATGTTCTTATTCATTGTCAGTTTTATAGTATGTCACTCATCATCAGATGAATACTCCTCTTTTAAATTTCCAGGGCATTCTGGTAATTTCTATTCACATTATCTGTTAGATGATCGAGATAACTCTGTTTAATGGAAAATTTTGTTACATTATGTTTAAACTCTGCCCGCAAATGGCCAATAACAGCTGTTGACATAGGTAGGTGCAATTTTTTCTTTTTTAAAAAAATGTTTTTTAAATTCTGTATATGCTGATCTATGACCATAATAATGATTTGATTTGATTTGATTTGAAGCTGATACCATTTGGCAATGAGAACACACACATGATGATGTTTTCCGAAGTGTCAAACAACTCCACCAGATCTCAAATTCTGGCATTTTGTAATGTCAGCCAATGTACTATTTCAAATGCTCATGTTAGCATCATTGGAATAGGCAGAGTATTGCTTCAAGGTCACAAAGGAGAGATGAGGCCAATAGCCTATTGTTTTAAAATATTTAGCAATCCAGAAATGTGGTGCGCCTGAGCTGAGAAAGAATGCCTCTCAACAGTGTAGACAAGTGAACAATTCCTAAAATATCTGTTTAGACTGGAATCTTTTCAATTGTATTCAGACCACAGTTATTGGTTGCCCTGTTACACTGCAAATACATAGACGAGATACCAATGAAAAGCCAGACTACTCTTCTAGATGCTATCCTCATGCTGAATATTGCCCAGGGAAAACAAAGTAGATGGTTTGCCCCAACACCTACTAAAATATCTTGGTTCAGATTCAATTCAACTTTTAGAAGAAGTAGCCTTACGAAGCAGTATTGCATGCTTCAATATTTATATCTGATTGGTTTCTTCAGTGCATATCCCACTTTACTGCTTCTGACTCAGAGCTGAAGGCAGTTCTGAACTTTATGCAAAATGGCTGGCCATCACATGCATGCAACATGCCTATCACACTCAGCCCATTATTGGCAGAAAGACTTGCCAAAGGGGTGAATTCTCCATGATGACAAATTGTTTTTCCAGATGAGATGAGACAAGAGGTACTGGAAAACTTAATTTAGCTGGAGGTTCTGAACTGGAAAACAGAAGTACTTGGATATCAAACATTATTTTTTTTCTAGGGGTTGCAAACATGGCCAATTGTACCAGACATGCTGCCATGAAAGGTTGTGAAAACCTGATGGCTTGATGGAGATATTCTGATAAACACATAATGTGCCACAGTTCACACAGGAAGAGTTTGCTTTATAAAGAACAAATAGGCAGTGATTGATAGCAGGCAAAAGTCATCCTTTCCCAAGCAACAAGATGCAAAGGAGCAAGAGATAGCTGTTAGCAGAGAACTCAGTTGTTGCTACGCAACTTGAAATGATCCCAAGGATCACATGTGGCTCTAGGCCATAGGCTACCTATCCTTGACCAAAAGGGGAACATGCTATAAATCAGGTCTTGATATAATCTAATTAGACTTTGGTTTGGAGCACACACGTTAAGCATCCTGTAGTTCATTGTTAATTGTTTCCAGTGGCATTGGTTTTTAAGTAGACAAGGCAGAGATTTACCCTGTGACTCAAGAATTTTTCTCCATGCAATACTAAGCATGCAAAAAATGTTTCACAGTATTGGATAAAAAATAGGAATAAATATTTTCTGTCCACAACAATGGCTGCACATGACTTTATGGTAGGATCATATCCAGACAGCTTATGGTAGCTACATGTTGAAGGATAACTCTACTACCTTATATAATTCAAGATAGGTGAGTGCCACACCACACTGTCATACAAGAACAAAACTATGCAGGAAGTATACAGGTGAGATAAAGGAAGTCAGTTGTAACTTCCCTTTCCCCCCAGAGTCCCAGAAAACGATGACAGCATCACAATGATTTCTGATAGATTTGTCAGTACTGCAAAAGTGGATTTCTGTTGGATGGAGAATGACAGCCTTTCCTTATTCTTTTGAATACTTTTTTTGGCAGGCAACATTAAATCTGTAGGCAGCCAGAGAGAAAGCTGTCAGCTGGAACAAGTCTTAGAGATGGGCAGATCTCCATTTGGAACAATCTTTTCACCTCCAGTTTTGTACACTAAGCTATAGCCAAAGTAATCACTGGGGACATTTTTTTCACATATTCTCTTTTGGATTATATCCATGAAATTGTCACATTCCTTAATGCTGTCCTTAGCCAAAAATAAACTTCATAGCCACCAGGCCTTGGAACGATTCTTATCCAGGATAGGAAAACAAAGAAACTTTTTAGGTGGAAAATTCTGAAATTCAGCAGGTCTGAGTTAATCATATTTAGAATATTAATTTCAACAGGTCTACCCTTCATGTTATTTATAATTACACCTGAAAAGGGGATATTCTAATTACAGGATATAAAATGTAGCTTGCCTCATACAGAGTCTCAGAGATGATGTTATGAAGCAGTTCACAAGAGTTGTGTAATGAGCGTAGCTGCAAATTTCTCTCTTCTCCATGAGTTCAATATTTGCACAGTGGAAACAGAAACAGAAGAGGAAGAAACTGATTGCACTGGTGAGGTGTCCAGTCTTTGTGGCAGCCACAGCAATAATGCCATGGAACTGCAATGCCCAATGGCTGGACAGGAGTAGGCAGTTCTGCAGCAGGCCAATTGGAGCCCAGCAGATTGGTGACCTCCAAAGACAACTCCATACAACTTAAAATGGAAGATCTTCTGCCATGAAAATTCCAAAATATTGCCTTCATGCCAGAACACCCTGAGCCAGCGTCAATCCTTCTCAATTTTGGACTGCTTACATTTATTTATATTTCAATGCCACCCAGCTCCAAGGTGACTCTGAGTGGCTCATAATTGAAAACAAAACAGCAACATATAAAATATAGTGTACAAGAAAAATATACAAGAAATCAACATCTGTCCAGACAAGGCACTATATATATCCCAAACACTATATATCCATTTGAGGATGTCACTGAGAAATGGTAAGTGGGGTGTTTTTGTGCCATGGCAAGCAGGCAGTGTGGATGAACTGTCTCTTTCTACCTCCCATCTCTTTCTTTGCACAGTTATTCACGTATAATATGGAGAATTTTTCCAGACTGATATTATGGGTTCCAAATTAAAATATGCATGGAGAAATGAGGAAAGTGAAAACTTTATTTATTTATTTATTTATTTATTTATTTATCTGCCCATCTCACCACAGGTGACTCTGGGTGGCATACAACAAAGCTAAAGATGGTAACATACATTAAAAATGTATAAAACAAAATAAAACAGAGAATAAAAGGAAGTTAAAAATAAGGGAGCGGCCTCACTAATTCCCCCATCCCCTGGAGTCCCCAGGTCTGCTGGAATAACCAAGTCTTCAGGGACCTCCGGAAGTTCAACAATGATGAGGCCAGTCTCACCTTGGGGTGGGGAGATTTCACAGCACAGGTGCCACAGCAGAAAAGGCCCACCACCTGGGGCCCACTAAATGTAGCTCCCTAGGTGACGGAACCCATAACGTGCCCACTCTGCTGGATCTGGTAGGACATGCAGATGAAATTATTTCCTACAACAGCTATCTTGGGAATAGTGGTCTACTGTGGAATAATGGTGCAGTCTGGACCATTTAAATATTTATGCTTCTGGTTGTGAGCACCTCATTGCTGGAACAACTTTTGCAGTTGCTCATAATAGTACTGTCCTTCCCTTCCCTTCCCTTCCCTTGCTGATAGTGCCTGAAACTGACGATGTTTTTACTGCCCTATTCTCTACATCCTTATTTCCAATGTATTCTTGAATCCTTTTGACTGGACTATTTTGCCATTACTTTACATTCTACTATTAGCGTCTTATAATTCTGACATAGGATTGCATGAATGCCCTGCATGTATTCATCAACTCCAATCCAATGGAACAGACTACCTGTATTTTTATTAAAAAAAAAAAAAAATCCCCTCTCACCCCTATGGGTAGTATGTGTCTTCCTCAATCTCAGGCCCTCTACTTGCTCCAGCAGTTGAAATGCTTTAAAAAAAAAAAAAAGAACACCTCACTGGAAATAGATATTAAGAAAAGAGTTACACCCCCGACTCCTTTGCCTTGAAGATGAGATATTTATTGGTAAGAATCCTTTTAACATTAAAGTTCATTGAAAGCTGAAGTTGGGTGTCCATTCTTGTCCAAATACCATTCTTCTGTAGGCATCTCCTTAGGAATGGTCACAAGTCACAACTCTGCACTTCCCCATGCACTTTTGGGGATTCAGACCATTATATTGGTATTGCTTTGATTCAATAGGCCATATCTGAACTTTATCTCCATCACTGAGGTTTCTTTGTTGATTTTCTGGGGGAATTATGAATATCTACTTTATTTGTCAGGCTCTGTAAAAGTTGAGTGACATGAAAAATCATCTGTCACAATTTGTAGAGGCATAAATTTTCAGAATAAATTAGGTGTGCAATACACTTTGTTGACAGCTCAGCCAAGCTTGCCATATGGTGAATTATGTTGATCTCCAAGCTGTTGCACATAAATGTTGTTTACCCGAGCTCTGCTGTTCATTTGTCAAGTCTGAAAGAAAATCACAGATCTCTTTTAATTGAATGGGTCTTGCACTCTTTCATTTTCTTTCAGTTTTCTCCCTCTTGGTAGTTCTAAATCCAGTTGTGCTTTTGTATCCTCAGAAACAATCTGATGGTTTTGGGATTTTTTTTTTTTTTGGTCTTGTTTTTCATCAAGGGTTACAAGTAATACACCCGTTAATTTGTTTAGATATTACCTGTCAGAAAAAAAATGCTCATTGGAGTAAAAAGCTGTTTATTAGGATGTCTTGACTATGGGTAATTATGTAGTACAGAAAAATGAATAAGGATGCAGCTGGAAGAATAAATTAGATTATACATGCTTTAGGTTGATTATCACCTATTCAGTTTTAATGTTGAATAACAGTATCATAGGAAACAAATATTTACTAAATTATAAGAACTATGCTGGATTAGGCTAAAAGTTTCTCTAGTTTTGCCATCTGTTTCTAGATGTAGCCAGTCATAAATGTCATAGATATATAAGATACTGTAGATGTGATGGGCTGGATCCAGAGCAAATTAATACTTAAATTACACTGAAAGTAATATTAAATGTTAATCATTACTAACAAATCCATGGATTTTAATGGGACTTTGGCATTATTAACTTAATAAAAATCCAAGACAATCGTGATAGTTAAGACTTCCTGTTCATTCCTAACATCTAATAATTTCATACTTCCTCTGCACGTGTAGTTTCAATTAAGCCAATTAAATAATTAATGGCCATTGACCAAAGTATCCTGCATTATGTTAATCCTGTTTTAACTACAACAATTACAAACAGGATTACAACTACCAACATATCTTGCAGTTATACATTTCATAAATTTAGTTGGAAAAAGAATACCGTCTAAAAAAGAAAATATGTATCAATCTGAAGATGGCAAAAAATGGAACAACTTTGTCATCCTATTGTGTCCAATAAACATGTCATTACCAGCCTTTTAGATTTGAGAGTGGCAACATATTTTTTTTTGTAAAATTATTCTTGTCATTTTCCATGGACAGCAACAGCAGAGTTCTTGTGGCATTACCAGACACCATTTTTCTCTACCCAGATGATGCTGAAATTTATCTTGTAATATGCAGAGATCAGAAAATAGAGGACTTTTTTCATTTCAAGTCTACTGAAGTAGATAAAAGCAAGCAGTATTTTAAAATATATTTCAACAAACCTGGAAAAGAAGCTTATGATTTTATGTTCCTTTTAGGGTCAGGGATACTTTTAGCCCCATGTACAGTTCTTATCTAGCATTTTTTTTATTCCTTTGGTCATCATGAAGTTGACTGTAGAAGCCATTGCCCAAGCCTACACTGATTTTTGAGCCTACATGAGAGGACTAAAAGTTCCTCCTAAAAACAGTCATGTGTGGTATTGTGCAAGGACTTGGATTCAAAGTGTTAAGAGAATGATATGTTCTGGGAAAGGGAAGTGTGAGGCTATAAATAGAAGAATTGTGATCTGTGTGAATACAGAGTGATATTTGTCCTCTAGCTGTTAAGAACATTCAAAATGCAGTTCAGATACAACAAATGAATTCTTTATTTCTTCACTTAACACTTTTGTTTGGACACACCAAAGCTAAGTTTTATTTATTTTAAAAGAATGGATCATGGAAACTTTCCTTATAATAAATTGTACAAATGCAATGTTACCCTGGTTTCTCTTTTACATAATCATAATCATACACACACATAGAGCAATTACAGGGGGCTCTGGAAGATATTCTTTATCTAGATCTATGGCAGTCTGGCTTCAGATCTGGGTATAGGATAGAAACTGTGTTGTCCTACCATTACTATCCTATATCTCTCAGAGGCCTGAACACATTAGCCTTCTTGAGCATCTATGGAGTTAGGATTTGGGAATGTTTTAGGAGATTCTATTCCTACCCTGATGCGCAGTTAAAGGGAAAGAGGTTGGGCCTACAGGCATTCTGCTATGGAGTGCCACAGGGTCCAGTCCTGTTTCCTATCCTATTTAACATCTACATGAAGCCATTGGAAGAGTTTATCCACCAGTCTGGATGATACTCAGTTATACATCTTTATCCTGGGCCCAATGAAAGATGTAGTGGAAGTTCTGACTCAATGTTTGGAGGATGTCAGGGTCTAGATTGGGAGGAACAGTTCAGACTCAACCCCAGTTGATAGGTTAGCTGAATTAAAGGGAGATTCAAAGAGATCAAGTTATGTTTCCTCCAGAAACACATGCATGTCATTTGGAATGCCTCAGTGATAGATGCTCTGCTAGAACATATAACACTTGTCAGGAAATGTACCATTACAATGGAAAAATTACTAAATTTCCTCAAATCAGTGGACTACTATTCTCTTTCCTGCTGAACCATAAATAAACCAGTTATACAACTAGCAGAAACGCTTAAGAAATTCATTGCAGATACTATGATGCTTGAAAGTACTGTGTTGTTAGCTTAAGGAAATTGAGAAAATGAGCTCCTGATAGACTTGTCAGCCTTGAGTCCTATATTCTTGGACAATGCTCGATCACTCTATGCTTTTGCTTGCCCTGTCCCCCTTAGGCCCAGTCCCTCATGGAAACCTGATCCGTCACTGAGGGAAAATGCAAGCGTTCTGCTTCTGTTCACTTGCTTTAGGGATCATCAGGAAGAGAAGACTTCAAGGGCTGGCAATTGCTGGTTCCTAATGCAAGCCATAGTATTTACTTCCATACATTATAGGTGCAGACCTTACTCAAGAGAACCTTCTAAGTACTTTAAGGACTTAAGAATCATTTCAGATTGTTGTGGATCTTCTGAGTGTTTCTTTCCTGCCTTTTTTTGTGCTTTGGATTCAGATTCAGTTTCTCCAGGCTTCAGTCCAATGTTTTGATGTGTGTGCCAAATGAAGATTTGGTTCTTCATTTATGGCTGTGCTAATAACCATTTGATCCCATTTATTTACTACTTCTACAGTCAAGAAATATGTGCTTTGTGGATTTGGCCTGCCTCACAGTTTGTTCCATTTACCTTCCGGTTGGGCACAACATTCTTATCTGTCCGGTAACTCCACAAACTTTGGGAAACAGTTTCAGACCAACCTATTGTTATCCTCATTACTGTGGAACTCAAAATACATTAAAATCCACATAAGGCACCTTCCAGTTGTCCGATAAGAGAGCTCCAAAAGCAGCATGAGTGGAAAGCTCTACCCCACATACAATCTGGTTGGCACTCAGAACATCTTAGCATTTGCGAGAGGGGGCTGCAAAGCCACTGATGTGCTATTCCTCCTCTCAATTTATTAAAGTGTATTTAAAAATCAGAGAAATAAAATACTTTGAGCTGGAGTCACTTAACCTGTGCAGAAAAGGGGGACCGCCCAGGAGCCAAAGACGATGCAAGAATTCCTGTTGATGGGAAAATGGCTTTTTGCAAAGAATTGGAGAGCTCCAGCCCTTCTTGAAAATCAGACACAGTGTATTTCCTGTAGAACTGCAGCTGAGTTGCAATAAATCGCCTGAGGTGAGACTATCAAAGGAACATATGGATATGGATCTGGGAATAGCAAAAGTGTTACATTTGCAGGTGTTCTAAATGCATGTATCACTTCCTACGTTTGGGAGTTATTGAAGAAAACATTTTAAAAAACAAAACAAAACTGCTGAGTTTTGTTTTTATTGCTCCCCCTCATGGAAACCAATCAAATGAAACTTAAGTAAGTTATTACCATGTGTAGATCCAATTTGTACACATGTATGGTGAGTGGATTTATATCCTCAAAACTCCCCAGACCTGCACCTATCAAAATTGAGAAAGCCATTAATATGCAATCCCTATTCAACCTTTTGTGAGTATTCTCAGAACCTATCAGGAAAATAGCACAGAATGTATTTCTGCATCAACCTAACCCTGTTTCTCCCCGGTCTTTTAGTCATTCTTCAGCAGGGATCATTTCTGTATGTCACTAGTTTCTAAAACTGATATTCTGATTGGTGCACTACGCACTTTTAAAATCATTTTTTAGTTTGCATCTCATTTTGTGTAGGCTAACAGTGCTCACTAGCACCTATGGACATACATTAGCATCACTGCATGAAGATTCCTTTGTGCGTGTGTATGTGTATGCATTATTAAGCTGTAAGACAAAAAGATATAGCTGAAACTTCAATCAACTTTGCTGAACACTTCATTAAAATAAGTTACATTTTTGCTTCAGTTTCCAATATGTAGTGACTGAAACATAAACTCTACAAATCTAAATTGGAAGATGGTATATTGCTAGACATCAGTGCCACACCTGTTGTGATTCCGAAACCCTTGGTGATACTAGGATGGGAAGAATTATGTATGCATTCTTACTCAAAAGCTAGTCTAACTAGTAGATATGATTTGCATTCTTGGCTGACAAAAAGCATTTTAATAGATCTTTTCCACCTGCTATACAACACCATAATCTAAGAAGGAAAATGCTTTACTTAACAGAAATACAGATCTGTAAGACAACGTAATCCTAGGTAATACAGCCTGTACAGATGTCTGCTTTTCCCACAATCAGAGAGCTGAGCTGTCATCTCTGAGAGGAAAATGGGAAAATAGGCAGAAAAACCTTATGTAGAAGACTTCAGATTCTTGCTATAATTTTAGTCCTCTTCCTATCAAAGTCAGACTTCCACATAGCAGCTTTTTCTCAAAGAATATAATGAATTGTTCAGCTCATTCTCTGAGCTTACAATTTCACTTAACACATCTGTTGATGTACAGCTGTATTGTGTATGTTTTCACATTCTTAAACAATACAGTAGAGGGAGGGCAAGATCTCTATTTAGGTTATTATAGATTGTTTCAAGGGCCCAAGGAGGATTCTGCTTTTTATTCTTGTGATTAATTGTACAGTAAGTAGAATATGTCAATAACAGAATATCTCTTAACATTCTTGTTAAATGAATGTAGTCAGAGAAAGCAAAAACAAAAATAAAATCTTGTTCTAGTGAGATTCCCACTATATATAATGGAAATAATTCTTCCTCCAGAAATTAAAACAATTTATAAATTCTTAGCTGCAATTCTTTTAATGAGACACTCTTTTATTTTACATAAAAAAGTAAGTATGCCTTCATCTGGCTTCTAAAATGGCAATCTATATACCGTTTTACATGTGAAAAAAATCTCAGTGAACATTATAAATGGGAGATAACATTTAAAATACCTGCCTTCCGCATACATTTGATAAACATCAGTTTGCATATAGAACTAATAGATCCACAGA